CCCTGCAGCGGAGCAGGCAGAGCAGCACGGAAAAGATTGAGGTTTGGGCCCACCTTCACTGCAGCATATCAGCCGGAGGCGCCCTGCACCGCTCTGCTCTTTTAACTGCTGGCTAATGCTGGCTAATGGTCGAGGAGATGGGGCACAGATACTGGTAGCTGTTTTGGGAAGTCTTGAACTCAGTTGCAGGAGTGGAACAACATGAAGCTGCGGGAGATCAAGCATTGCCGTTTGGCCATGGTGGGTTTCTTCTTCATGGTTCTCCGAAATGCCTCCACCGGTGAGGGCCCCTCGCTGCTCCCCAACTTGACGACAGCCGAGTTCCAGTCTTCCGTCGGTGACTTCATCCCCAGGGACATCTGAGCAGACTTGTGCACAAAAGGGACGCGTCTGAAGAGAGAGCTTGACCGCCAGATTTTTAGTAGACCTCACTTGGTGCGACGTGTACAGAAGTAGTTGCAGTTACAGTGGTGGTACCGGGTCAATGACACCGTGTGCGGGGATGGTTGGCCAAAACGGAGCTCAACTCTCAAAGTGCTTGGCGCAGCTCCGATGCTCCCGAAACATCTACCGAACCATATCGTCTAACGTGCTCGATGGGTGAAAGCTTCCGCGAGCTTTTGGGGCACCTGTTTCACTTGCCGAGGACCTGCCAGGATTGGCGGCCTTTGAGGCAGGGCGCCTGCGGCGATGACACAAGCGATGCCCCAAGACGAAGCTGTTTGCCAAGGCCCTGGCTGTGCTGGAGCTACTGGCCCTTTCTCTGGAGGGCCCAGATATCGATGGTGGGATGGGGTGGACACGGTCAGATGCATGTAACGATTACTTACTCGCAGTAGAAAGTCAGCGGCATCAGCAAATTGCTTCTCAGTCTGGGCTGCTTTGGAGCCCCTTTCAGCAGCTCCTTGGTCGCATGTTTTTTTCTGCCGAGGGGTGCTCTGTTCTTGTTGGTTCGGTGTGTGGCCCCTCTTGCGTTCCTGCTACCCCTTGGTTTGTGATTGAAACAACAATTCCACTGCACCGAAAGACGCTGAACCCTGTTCCAATTCTCGCCGAAGCTATGCGAATCTAGCGAGGAAATGCCTGCATTGCATCAGGAATCTGGGAAAGTGCTGCATAGTGCATACATCAGAGGAAACTGTTGCTGGGTACCTCAACTATACCGAGCTGCAGAACACCTGCCACGTGGCCATGGCCCGAGTCTGTTGAGTGTGTCACTATCTGAGTCTGCAACTTGCGGACGCCCAGGTCCAGGTGCTTGCTGACTCGACTGAGCCTATCCTGGTCTTCCCGGAAAGTGTGCAGGAAATGCATCCCAGTGTCGCAGCCCACAGCTACATCAAGCAGTAATGAGACGGAGACTGGCACATCGATCAGTGGATTTGCAGAGCATGTACAAGCGTTCTGCAGGAGCGGTCGCTGGTGTATCCAGCACCTGGTTGGCAGGCCAGGGCTTTGATTTGGCTCTTCCAATTCTGCCAGAGGCTTTGATCTTTCGTTCTGTCGGATGCAACACTTGGCGTCCAACTCAGCTGAGACATGTGGCGGAGATGCGCAGGAAAGAAACTGTACCTTGCCCGCGCCCGCCAGTTCTCACTGCTGGGTACGCAATTGAGAGTGATCACGCCTGTAGGTAGCAGAAGCGTCATGCAACCACATGAAACCACCACCAAGCAAAAGACTGGGTTGAGAAGCTTCGTATCACGTGGCTTAAGCCTCCCGCTTTGGAGCTCCACCCTGTCAGACTCGAATAGCTCGAAGATCTCCACTGCACTCTTCTGCCCTGAGGATGGGGCTTCAGCGGGGCGGAGTGCGGCCAGTGCCCGGATGGCCAGCAATCGTTTTTCAGGAGCGCTGGCTGCTCCGCTCTTTCCTCCAGAGCAACACGCAGAGTGGACGTGATGGAGGACGGAGCTGCAGCGGAGGCAGTGTCAGGATTGCCCGGCTGGTCATCCACTTGGTTGATGCGTGTCGGCACGTGCAAGGCATCACACTTTAAGATGCGCGCGTGCATGCACGTGTGTCTGTGTGTGTGCGTGCGTGCAGTGAATTAGTGATGTGTATTTCGACAACTCAACGTATCGAAAGCAGCCGAGGGTGTCAATCTTTTGGATATGGCATCAGCGTGTGGCATAGGTCCTAGCTTCCGTGGGAGAGGGCCTATTCTTGAGGCCAGCATTTTTTGGGTGCAGCAGCAGTAGGACTAATACCACCACCACCACCACCACCACCCCCACGACTACTACTCTTATACTACTACTACTACTACTACTACTCCTGCTACTACTACTACTACTACTACTTCTACTACTTCTACTACTATTTACTACT